TGCTTCTCCCCTCCCCCCCCCCCCCCCCCCCTGCCTTTGCTCTGGGGATGCCTCCCTAAAAGAGCTGGGGAACATGCTGCTTCGTGGGGAAATCCCTTTGCCATGGGGCTGTCGCTGCAATTTATGACCAAGCAGTAGCAACCACGATCACCTTGTGCCACTGAGGCCAGCCCAGCCCCGGGGCAGCAAAGCATGGAGGAGGAAACGGGGAGTGCAGAGGACAGGTTGGACCCAGCGATGAATGTGTGCGAACATGTGAGGTTTTGTGCCCGTTAGGAGGGAGCCTGGGCAGGCACCGCTCGAGCAGTGTCTTTGCATAGCTGTTCCCACAGAGCCGGGTCCCTCTGGGGACCTTGTCTCCGGCTCCAGAGCCAGCTCAGACCCCTGCAGCCCAGAAGGTTCCCAGCTTCACCCAAGAGAAGAGGCGGTAGTGGGAAAGGAAGACCCAGGGAACCTTGCAGAAGAGATGGAGGGAGGGGGCTTTCCTCACCCAGAAAAAGGGAGAGGGCACCCTGGGCTTCCAGCAACCCACAGACCTTCCCTACAACTTCCTTTACCCATTTCAGACCCCCCGCGCAAGCAGAGGTGGCTGCCTACAGACACGTGCAGGCTCACACCTCACCCCTCACAGCGGTTTCCCAAACCAAACAGCAACAGGAAACTTCAATGAAATTCAAAAGGGAAATTGCAGTTCCCACTGCCCAACACATACACACGTGCCTTCCTCCCCTCCACACCCACTTCCTCCCGGGAAGGGAAGCAGAGGGCCTTTGCTGCAAGGCAGCCCCTACTCAAATCCCATTCACATGCCCAGAGCCGTACACGGCCGTCGCGCTGCCCGTGGACGAAGCAGAGCGGAGAAGCACAGCCCCGGCTTGGTCGCTGGCGAGACATCCCCGTGCTGGAGACCTGCAGGAGGAGCCGCTCCAGGTCCCGTCTCCCGTGCAAGGCCACCGAGTGCTTTGGATCTGTGGTTGGCAATGAGGATGTGCAGGAATGAATGGGCTGTGTGTAACGGGCAAGGTGATGAGGAGTGGGTGAGGGGAGGAGGAAGAGCGCCGCGCTACGCCTCTGCTGCCTCGACTCCTCCCGCGGCCTCCTTAGGACGTCACAGGCTGGATGGGGAGCAGGCTGCCGAACTTAAAGTGCTGGATCACAGGAAACTTCTCCAGGCACTGCAGGAGGGGAGATAAAGAGGGGTGAATTCAGGAGACGTTTCCACCTTACGCACACAGCCAGAGCTACATCCTGCCTCCGGGGCCAGGAGGCAGCAAACTTGGGCCCACTCGGCTCAGCTGCAGGCAGAGGGATCCGTCCCATGTCTCCCCCCCACATTCCCGTCAGGCTCCTCAGCCCAGTAACACTTCTTAACCCCATCCCCTTCCCTTCAGCCACAGCCTTTTGCTTGCTGAAATTCAGGCCTGGCGCATGAGCAGAAGAGGCATGTTTATGTCAGCAGCTTTCTCTCTCACCACCTCTCATTGCTTGAGCTGATCTCTTTGAAGAGCTTCACTTTGAGAACTGCAAAAACCCCGGCCAGGGAAGAGACTCTCCCTCCCCAGGACAGTGCCCACACTCTGGGTTTGAGGCACCATCCCGCAGCCGCAAGGCGCTGCCCAAACTGCATTCCAGATTCTCAGGTCTTTGATAGACAAGCACCAGTGATTTTGCTGCCATAGTTTAAGACATGATCCTATTCCCAACAACCCCTCACCCCTGAAATTCCCACCCCCCATTGCAGAGTAAGGACAGAGGGAGTGTGGATCACAGATCAGTCATATATGTCCACTACAAGACAGCTCAGCTCAGAGCTGCTTCCTCCAGCTAAGACCAGGGTCTGCATGGGGAGAGCTGGGCTGCGAGGGCACAGCCCCTTCTGCTCACCATCCTGCCAGGGCAGGAAGGCCAGTGACTGTGGTCAGTAACCATGTCAAATTTTGCCAGCACTCGCCTGGCAGAGCCACTCAGAGCTCTGGTTTTTTGAGTCACTGCAGATTCAGACTGCCCAAAACTCACAGAGAGCACAGAGCAGACTCACCTCCAGACACACAAACCTCCGCAGCACGTGTACACCAACCCAGCAGCTGCATCTACACTAACATCACCCACGTAGCTGTGAGTGGTTGTGCTAAACAAGGGCTGGAGACCACCTCACTGTGCCGCAATGGGGACTCATCTACCAGGGCACTTGGGGCATGGCTAGTGAGAGATGGTGGCCACCTCCTCGCTGCAGGCAGAGGGGCAAGTTCTTCTCTCCCTAGACAGCACGATATGTATGGAGAGAAGAAACTTAAGTGCCCTGTGTCTTGGGAGGAGAGCCCTTCCTCTGTACCCAGCTGAGGCATGGGTCTGCTGATGGGAGTCTTATCCTCCAGGAGACGTGAAGTACATACAACCAGAGCACAGCAGCTACCAACCAACAGGAGTCCATCTAGTCCCAGCAATTCCTTGGCACAAACAGCATCTGCTCAGAGCCAGGGTGGATGGGACGCTGCACTAGGCAGGCACCCAGCTCCCCACAAGCTGCAGACCCAGCAGCAGGAGGGTGTCAAGGCCACACCGGCTCCTGCCTGCAACCAGCAGCCTCCCAGGCAGATCCTGGGGACAAGATGCATGGCTCGTTCCTCCAGGCATTCCTTCAAAGCACAGCTCCTTCCTACCAAAGGGAGGCAAGAGCCATGTCATAGTTACAACTCTCCTTTCCATAGGAAGGAATCCTGTGCCCTCCACGGGGCCGAGCTGAACCTGCTGCAGCAGGGGAGATCCCAGCTCTGGGGATGGGGAGGAAGCCATGTGCTGCAGACAGCTCTTCACCCCAAGGCAGGGCACAGGCAGGCAGCCTGCCCTCATCCTGTCGTCGTGGGCAAGCAGGAGGATTTGTGCGCAGAAGCCCAGGCCTATGGTAATCCCTTTGGAGCCAGAGGTCAGACAACTGGTTCCAGCACAACTGAACTGCTCGCAAGCACACTGGAGCCAAAGCAAGTGTGGAGGTGGTGAAAGTACAGCACGGCTGTATCCACTCCTGGGGAATAACAGCCATGCAGAAAACCACAAGCCTCCATGGCAAGGCACCAAGGAGAAAGAAGTCCTGCGACCATCAGGGCACATCACCTTCAAAGCTTCCTAATGTGTGGGATGCTCAGAGCTGCTGCCATGTTGCAGCACAACCACTTAGACAAACCCTCAGAGGAAGCAGTGCTGGACAGCAGTGATGTGAGGGAAGAACAGAGAAAAATGAATACTGAAGGTGTTGACAGCTAGAAATGTCATCCCAACTAGCTCCAAGGAGTCCCACGGAAGACCAGACTGGTTTGGGCTCTGGATGAAGAGACTTTACCACCAGTGGGAAGAATGGGTATCCATTCCACTTAACACATTGCCAGCCCAAGAAGAGACAAGCAGAGAAAATTCTCTTCCTCTCTCCAGCAGGACTAGCACAAATTTACTGAATTATTAGAGGTGCCAAGAGACAGGACCCTCCTTGCAGCACCTATGGGTGAAATTTAGCCAACACTAGCTCAATGGAGGGGACAGGCTTATTTTCATCTTGCCATCATCTTGATCATGCTGAAGGCCTGCTCGGGACTCAACTGGGGAGTAGAAACATGCTTCGGGTCCAACCTTTAAAGATGGAACTGGGACTAGATTAGTTACAATGGAAAGTATTTCCCGACTGACTGCAGCAGAGAGGGAAAGGTCAGGAGACTCAAAAGCAGGCTCAGGGGAAAAACATCAAGGCTGCTGCTTTAACCACACTCCGTCAACTTCTTCACTCACCTTTGATGGAGACAGTAAAAAAAGCCCTTGCACTTCCAAGCAAACGCATCTTCACCCATTATATTTATATTATAAATAGACACATTTGAGATTTCATAAACACACAGAGCTGAAGACACATTGTCTTCAGTCTACTGCCATCCACAGACCTGCAGCAAGCACCCTGGAGTGCCTGGATCCAGAGTAGAGCTCCCAGCCACATGGACGCACCTGAGCTTTCTGTCGGCTGTTTAAAGTCATCCCATAGAGGCGACAGAGCAGAGACAAAGCATCCAGGGTGCTTTTTAAATGAACCAGGTCTGGGGACTGCCCCGCTTCTGCCAAGTGAGAGCAGGTTGCGAGTGAGCATCTGATTTCTCCTGGTCTGCTTCTAGCAAGTGAGCCCTTCACCCTGCTGCTGCCTCCACTCAAAACCCGCTCACAGTCAGCGTCGCCCGGCACCGAGCACTTCTCAGCCACCCCAGACATGGTAAGGAGCTGAAGCCTCCATCCGAGTGCCTGATTTCACCTGATCTAATTGCAACGGGTGATCGGAGGGGCAGAGAGAAGAGGGCGGGGGGCGGAAGGAAATCTTGCTCTCACCTTAGCCAGTCAGAAAGCAACACCACAACCCCAAACCTTCCCTCTCTTTACTATCACACGCCCTGAGCTCTGCCACAGAAGCTGCCTGCCTTGAGCTGGACAAAGACCCATGTCAGCACTTGGGGGCCGTTGGCTCGCTTATCTTCTGCTAATGTTGGCAGTGGCTAATTGGAGAAAGACCACAAGGGTGAAGGCAACACATCTGGGAACATCGAGCAGAAACTTGCTCCAGGAGCCAGCAGCAAACGGACAAGATCTTCAAGAGTGACTGTGGGTGCCTAGCCTGGAACACCCAGAAGGATTCAGTTTTCAAAGGATGAAGCCTCAGCGATTCCTGAACATTGTGTCCTTCCCAGAAAATCAGTCAAAGAGATCCTCTAGTTGCAAATGTTGGTAAAAGCTGCATGGCCAAGCACACCATAACTGAAAGCTCTGTCCAGCCACACTGCCATGTCCATGCTCCTCTCATCTCCCAAGCCAGGCAGGAACCAGCCGAGCCAGCAGCGGGGTGGGAGACTCCCCAGAGCAGGTACAAAGAACCAGTGAGGAGGACTCAGCAGGAGTCCCCCCTCTCCTCTGCCCATCCAGGTGAACACAGGCACCATGCAGTGCCAGGAGAGGACACTGCTGCATGAGGACTATGTGCTTAGGAATAGTGCTTTAAGACCTACAAATGTTCTTTGAGGAAAAAAACTAAATTTAAAACACTTTGGTTGACTCAATGTTTTCTACACCTTAGCCTAAATTTGTGTCATTACTCTTCCTAGCAGCTTTTGCACTCTCCCCCTGACACAGCTACATCTCTAGATATTTCTAGAAACCCACCAGTACTGGATCTGGCATTTCTACACAGAATGTCGTCTACTATTCAAAATAGACCGAGGCTTCTAGAAAAGACCATGTCTTGGGTGCACTTAAAAGAGCCAAAGAACCTCCCACCTCTAGAAGATCCCTGGGCTGTGCTGTCCCCAGCAGGCCAGGTAGATCTGCCAGCACACGGTGGCCCCATGACACCAGTGGACATGCACACTGCACCGTGGGTACGTCACTGCCAAGCTCCTCCAGCCACATACGTGGTGCACGAGGTGGGAGCAACCATACGGCACAGGGCATGTGGGGCACCAGGCAGGAGCACCCAAACAGCATGGGGCACATAGGATGCCAGGGGAGTACCCAAACAGTGTGAGAAGGAACTAGTCCAAAGGAAAGAAAGGACCAAGGCAGGGCTCTTCAGGCAGCAGCAAACCACGCTCAGGCTCTAGGTTTTAGGGGACCCATGTTTCACTTTAACAGCGCTCCCAGAGCCGGGGTCTTCCCTCCAGCCCCCACAGCTCTCAGACCAGAGCCTCCAGCTCAGAGTTTCTCAGCAGGCAGCATCTCCAGCCTCCATGACGGAGCTGTGAGCGGGGGCAGCCCAGAAGGGGCAGCCCCAGGGGCACCCCTCCAAGGAGCAGCCAGCGGAGGGGGTCGACCCCCAGCCCCGCTTCTCCTCTTTGGATGCCTTTGGAGGCTGGGAGGAAAGCTGAGCTGGGGGCGGAAGGAGCCAGCGGGCCTGGGAGTGACACCTCGCAGATTAGAGAGGTATGTGGCCTGGAACCTAAACACAGGATGTGCAGTGCAGAGGAAAGGCTGGGGGAGGGAGCGCACCGAGTTCGGCACAGTTAACCCCTTTGTGCGCTGGGCCTGAGCGGAGCTGCCCGCAGAACCTCTGCCATATGTCCCAGCAACAGGAGAATGGCAGAGACCACAAGGTATAGGATTAACTCCTTCAAGCCGCACCGGTCACCCCGGGTGCACCAGGGAGCTGTGCCATCCCTGCTCCTCCAACGGTGACTCCCTGCAGAGCCGGCACGGTCCCATCCTTCCCAGCAAGAGATGCTGCCTGTCGGCCGTTCCCTCCGGAGGCCCAGATGTGGTGGTTCCTGTCCTGCTTCCTCAAGCTCAGGGTTAGCTCGAGCAGGAAGGAGAGATAAGGGAGAGCCAAAACTGCCTGGTTCCCCAGGTCAGGGTTTGCCAGGAAAGCCTGCTGGGGCAGTGCCAGCAGAGCCCTGGCGGGTGGAGGGTTGCCAAACCAGGGAGGTAGCTGTGGCCTCGCCGGTCCAGCACACTGCACGGACGGGACTCGTAGCGAGGGGAGATCACTAGGAAGCATTCAGCCTGCTCTGGGGCTCCTGAAACATGGGATGATAATTTAAACCAAGTCTCCTCCGGCTGGTAAAATAGCAGTGCGGGGACCAGAAGGATAAGCAGGTCAAGACACCGGCCCTAATCTGGAGACCTGCAACTTGCACTATGGGAAGACAAGAAATGGCAAAAGTCATGTCTGCAAGGAATGGCTATTTTGGGATTGATTTTGGGGCAAACACTAGGCAGGCAGGAGCCACCTCCTAGCCAGCAGCACCTGAACTGCCAAGGGCTCCCAAGCCACGTTCAGCATGGGGCCCCCACCCAAGGAGCAGCAGAAGAGAAGAGCTGACCCACAGTGAAGCAGAAGGGAGGAGGTGTGTGGCCAAGCAGCCTCCCCCTGTCCACGGCGCTCACCTCTGCCTTGTACATGCGGATGAGGCCCTGGTTGACCTTGGACCAGGAGGGCACGGCGCTGATGTTCCAGAGCTGGTTGGAGTGCTCGGCAAAGGGGCCCGTCTTCATCTGAAAGAGACCCGAGAGCAGAGCTGAGGGAGCCGGGCCAGCCAGGAAGCTCGTGCACCAGCAGTGACTCACGCTCACACTCTCTCCAAGCAAACATTCCCACCAAGCCCTGTGACCCACGCACCAGCCACCTCACTGCGCCTTCCCTCCCTCCCTCCCTCTACGCTCCCTCCCGCTGCGCCCACATCACATGAAGCCGTGGCAATCCAGCTCCCCCCCCTCCCCGATAAAATTAAGTCTTTTCCTGCCACGCTTTCCTAATCAGACCTCCCTCTGCACACCTCCCTTTTAATGACTGCATTAAAAAAGCCCCACATAAGTCCCATTCTCCCCCCCCCGGCAGAGCTTGGCTCAACGCTGTTCCTATTCTACCCAGAAACCTCCCAGTGCAGCACTGCTGGGCTTTCCAAGAAAATGACTCATTCCCCATTCAGATCAACAACAAGCAGCAGCGACAACCGCTGCTGCCTTCCCTGAATACAGAGGGCAGCGCAGGTTGGCAGCAGCTCTGGTGTCCGCAGCCCACTCCACACCTGCCTCTAGCAGAGGAGGGCTCTCAGGGGAGGCAGGAGCAGAGGGGACACGCTCCAGTCCCGCTCTCCAAACCGGCTCCAGAGCTGTGAGGCTAGATTGCACAGCAGATGCTTTTTTTT